TTATGACCTATTCTCATTATATTGGGAACTCATTATGTATTCATGAATTTAGGGGGGGGGAAAGAAGTAATTTATCCTGTAATTCGTTTCGTTAGTAACGTAACTACATTTGTGTACCAACATTCCGTTTAACATTTATTTAATTCACATAGATATATGTATATTCAATGAATTACTCTCAAGGGTAACATAATTTAGAAGTATATCTAATTAGAAGTAATGATGATATGAAGTGGTAAATTTGTTCACCCTACCGGTATTATTATTATTACCATTATTATCGTTGTTGTTGTTGTTGTTAAGTCGTTTGAATGAGAAAATAAGGTAACGAGAGAATGATGCATTTTATGATTATTATTATTATATACATATACCTCGATTTTATAATGATGAGAGTCTGAAGTGGTACATGAAAGTGGAAAAAAAGGGCGGTGATAATATGTGAAATGTTCATCTGCTTTTTTTTATTGTTGCAACGTTTTATGTTTGTCTATATCAGTAGTTACTCAGTCAACTTAGAGGTTGATTTGTATAAAGGAAAAAAATGTAGAAAAAGATTTTTGTGTTTTATACTTCTGATTCTTACCTTTTTAATTATTAATTAACATTAGTTGATGAATTCTGGTTAATGTTTTTTTTAACGAGTTAGTTTTCTACAGGATGAGGTCACTAACCCTATGCCCAACTCTTCTCCTTTATCTGGGCTTAAGACTGGCAGTAGCCCCAGAGGAGCTCCAGGCAGGCCAACAAATTACTACGAGGGAGAAAAGACCAAATTTCAGCGGAGGAACAAATCAGGAAGAAGCGATGGAAGTTGATAGGATATATATTGAAGAAAGCACTCAACTGCATCACAAGGTAAGTCCTCAATTGGAATCCTCAAGGCCAAATAAAGGAAAAGAGGAACAGCAAAGAACACATTACTCCGGGGAATGGAGACAGACATGAGAAGAATGAACAACGAATGGGTAGGACTACAGAGGAAGGCTAAGGACAGAGTGGGTTTGAGAATAATGGTCGGCAGCCTATTATCCACTGGAGGTAACAGACACCGGAAAAGTTTCATAATTTAATGATAAATACATAGTATTATTCTCGTTTTATTGTTGATTTAAATATCATTTATAGACACTAGTCTTCTACATATTCTCACATTTTGCATCTATTCAATGAGTTTTTTAAATGAAACTCGTTACTTTCTGTTGAGTTATTCCATAATTCATTGTTATTTTAGTAGTTGATTTAATGAGTCAGTTGAAGATGCACCACCATGGAAAACTTGGAAGCACTGAATGGCCGTTTCGTCTTAGTATGGGACTCCACAGAAGTGCGTATCCACGATCCCGGCTAGCGAGGTTCGAACACAGTACCTATCAGCGTTTAACATCTAAACCATTGAGTCAGCATCCAACGGTGTTAATATCTAACTTAAACCAGTCCACGAAGTTGCACCACCGTCCACCATTGTCATCAGTGAGTTACTATCTCACAATGGGCCTGATTGAACTTCGGTGGTCCCTGCTTTTCACTAAAATTCGTGGAAACCTTTGATCCAAGCGCTGGTTCAACAACCCTTACTTCCTCTTAAAAGAATAAAGTGATAATATGGGATGTTCTGTACCTTAGTTACTTATATGTTACCGCCCACAAATCTATTATATTTGTAATTTGTTCAATATATAAATTTCAGTCTAGATTTTATATTTTCAATGGCATCTATCAAAACTGACTTTTATTTTGAATAAAATATAAGTAATATAATCGATGTTAGATGGTTGGAGGTAACTGAGAGAAAATTGTGGAACTAGGCTTCATGTTATATGGTATTCGACAGTATGACTTACCTCCAACCTTGAGGAAATTGATGCTTTCTGTTAGATTCGAATGAAACACTTATCTTTACAGCCTGACACTTTATTACTCAGGTATCTAACCCTCAACTCTAATAATGACTATAATTGGAATATCACAGAGTTTATCAGGAGCTACTTATCAATGATGCATGGTATCTAGTAAGGAATCTATGATCACAGTTTTCTTGTGATTATTTGTAACTATCAAACATTAAAACAGTTTAACTGATCTCTAGGCCCGTAAACTAGTGATTATACTACAACTTGATTGATTGATCCCGATTAGCATTAAAAAGGACTGAATAAACATGACATATTCACCTGTAATATCAGAGTAACCATAGTTTTCTTAGCAAATTACTAGTAAAGCAATCAAATTTCAAACTAATTAAGCGGATATTCGAACTTTTTAATTATAACCCTATAAATACATACACAAGAAATTTTCATATGTTGGAGACAATTCACACATCTAATACAATTATCAAAAATAATGATGATCTGGATCAAATGTAGTGGTTCAAAGGGTAATGTACCAATAGTCAAGTTTAAGAAATGATCGATTTGTCTAACAAGAATAATTGTAAATACATATTTTACTTTCCCAGATCTGTTATACATTTCAACGAATCTATATAATTGAAATAAAGAGCATCACTTTTAAACTTGAAAGAAATGAAATTGTATATAAGGAAACGGTGTATAAAGCATTCTAAATAAAGATAGATAGTGGATAGCAGTGATGAAATTCAGTTTGACGCGTGTTTTTTTCCTATTTTGGATTTACTTACATCACAGAGTTGATGTTCACCCTGAGACTCGAACCAAGTACTGTTCGCTTCAAATGCCATCACATTATCTACTTAGCTACTGAATGCTGATAGCTACTTGTTTATGCAATGGGACCAAGTTTAAATTCTCTCGATATGACGAGTCCCAAATGGGACGAAATGCACGTCAAACTGGATTTCACTTCTAGGCACTATTGATCTATGCTTTGAATGCTTGCGAATTTCGAGGCGAACCGTACAGTATGCACATATGCTAATAAGAAACTGATCAATCGCAGTCTTAAACATTAATGGGAAGATTTAAATAAACAATACTAAGTGAATTTAGTGCATGAATTTATTTATTTATAATCTATTAACAAAATTGATCATTGCTGAACGACAGTATCCAAATGGAATTGTAATTCACATTGATATCAGTAATAATAATAATCACTTTATTTCAAAATAGAAACGTTTTTATTCTTAGAAATTTTTGGCATTAATCATCCTATTCTACAATAACCCTTTTTTGTAAATACTTTGACTGTTAAAAAAGTCTAAAAAATATATATCCCTTTAGTTATTTTCCAATGGTCATTGAACTTCAGCTGCTAAACTTTCCAACCAGTTCAGATGTTATAACTATTTTCTCCATCCACCATGTGTTACGTATGCTTGAACATCGACTGCCACGGCGCGTAATGCCTACTAGTGTTGGGAATGGTTGGGAGAAAGTTAGGGGCGGCCAAACTAAAATGTGGAATCAGTTCATAAAGTCACTAACTTTTAGTCTATGCCGTGTTAGTAGATGCAGATTACTTGGTTGGGCTCCACGTGACTATCGTAACCAACGATTGGAGACTCTTGAGGACATGGCTCAGAATCTCTGTCTTCCTTTAAATTAAGGGATTAAAATCACTTCATATCTTTCTTTCTACCAACTAATTCCTTCCTACTGTACTATATCCTTATATACAATCGTTCTTTTATATATTATCACCATTGAATTATCTACTTCGATGAATTCGGTGTTCATTTTGTTGTGCTAATGCGGTATGGCAACTTGGACCGATGCACATGTGTGTCTGCTCCTACATTGTAGCTAACTGACCGACTGACTCATCCATTGGATAAATAAGTGTAGTCACCTCTCAATGAATCAATTAGTAGACAAACAGGAAAATTTCCTAATAAGTGCAGTGCTTGTATAGGAAATTTTCAATATTTAATATCTTGATAAGTTATAAGATTCTATTAAAACTGTATAACTGCATACCATTGAAAGTTGTATTTATTCAGTTTAAACAAAATCTACAACTGGAACATTTGTTGCAATATATTCATATCATTGGAAAATGGATGACTTAAACAGTTGTGAATGAGATACTAGTAGAATTATTGCTTTTATTTAATGCTATCACATAATAGTCAATTTATGGTCATCATTCTGATTGTTGTTAATGTTATTATTAGAATTTTATAGTTGAATCCATGAGTCAATTAAAGTTAGACCACAGTGAAAAACGTGGAAGTACTGGAAGGTCGTTTCGTCCTAGTATGGGACTCCTCAGCAGTTCTCATCCACGATCCTACACAAGGGATTCGAACCCAGAACCTATCAGTCTCGAGCGCGAATGCTTAACCTCTAGACCATTGAGCAGGTGTTCAATAATGTTACTGTCTTACTTCAACCATTATTATTATTATTGTTATTATTATTATTAGTAGTAGTAATGGTAATATCATTATTATTCTTTGCAGTAGTGTAGATTACAATCTCTTTTTTTATCAAATAATAAGTAGCAGTTGATATGAAATACAATAGTTAGATAAACATCTCTATACTTAATTCTTTATTCTGAATGGTCACTATAATGAACGTGCGTCCACATTCATACACTAGACATTAACTCACTACACTTGTATATTGTGATATAATGGAATTTATATACAATCATATATACTTAAAGTTATTTCTATCCTCTCATAAATTAGAGGAACAAAAAGATAACAAATTCTGTGGAAACAATATCTACAAGAATGATAATACTACTAGTTGGCTACCTACCAAAAACCACAGTTACAATCAGAATAAAACTAACAGTAGGTAAAACCACACATTGACACACACACTCATATACACATATCTACAGAAGAAATCTAGTCCAATGATAAATAACCACAGGGATGAAAGACTATTAACAACAATAAAAATAAGCGATGAGAATAAATAAAAAAGAAGGGCAACTTATCACGTTAAACCAATAGAAAATGAATGAAAGAATAAGAATAATAATAAAAGAAAGAAATCTGTTTCCAACTATTACTACTCTCTATCTAATAGGAGAAAAAAAATTAGGGTGGAGAGGGTTCATCAAAACAGAAAAGAACCAACAACAACAACAAAAAAAGAAGAAAAGGGAACAGAAGAAGGCAATCTGTCAGAATGAACAAAGATTCATCAACCCTACTATCTTTATTATTGAAGATTTGAAGAAATTGTGATGAAAGTATTATCACTTTTAGTATTGTGAATACTAACAATAATGATGATAATAATAATAACAATGACAACAACAACAACAACAACAAGTCTACTCATGTCTATTCAGTAATTGAAAAGTAAATAAAAATGTAAGTCAATAACAAAATCCTTATGCTGATATAACAAAAAAGTCATTGAATAACAATGAACTGAATGTATATATACGTGTATCTATGCTAAGTATATAGTCGTTAAGGCAAAGAAACTGATTTATTATATGAACAGAATGAATACTACTACTACTTCTACTAGTACTACTACTACTACTAATCCGTTTATATGGAATCAATTAATGCATTACATCAAAAATCATAAACAACAACAAACCATCAATAATGATCAGATGGATACAAGTATACTTAATCATTCTTATTATCCATCTATGAATTCAATAGGAATTATATCAAAAGATTCATTATCATCAATTGATTATGATTATGTAAATAATAAAGAACAAATGAATACTGCAACTATGATGACAATGATTATGAATTCAGAGTTGATGATGTCAATGTCTAATACAAAACAAAATACTATGAATAATAATAATAATCAACTATTAACTTCACTTGCATCATCACCAATCACAACGAATACAACATCTTCATCATTGTCACCAACGACTTCTGTTTATCATAATCATCATCATGAGTATTATCATCAAAAATCTCCATCTTCTTCACCTATTTCTCCTCTTCCATCACTTCATCATCAACATCGTCATCATCATAATCATAGTCATTTACATGTTAAACGTCCAATGAATGCATTTATGGTATGGTCACGTGGTCAACGACGTAAAATGGCTCAAGCTAATCCAAAAATGCATAATTCTGAAATAAGTAAACGATTAGGTATTGAATGGAAATTATTAACAGATAATGAAAAACGTCCATTTATTGATGAAGCTAAACGTTTAAGAGTAAATCATATGAAAGCATATCCAGATTATAAATATAGACCAAGAAGAAAACTAAAACATTCAAGAAAACAAGAAAACTTTACACAATCACAATCATCACTACCACTACCACCACTACCACCACCTATTCAAGGTAAGTAATGTAAATCAATAATACTAATGATATTGATAATGATAATGTTGTTTACAAAAAAAATAGTTGTTACTAATATCAATGAAACAATCATATTGATCAACTCTATACTCAAATGAATAATATCAGTTAATGAAATCATTTTTAATATTAAGAAATACTAGAAAGTTGTTTTTGGTTACTTATCACTATGGGGCTGTGAAGATTATTGAGTTTTTGTTTGAGATGATGAATTGATTAATGTTAGACTAGCATTGTAAACCTAGAAATACTGGATGGCCGTTTCATCCTATTGCGGGACTCTTCGGTAGTGCTCATCCATGATTTCTGCACGAGGGATTCGAATTATGTGAGCAGGATTTTAGGTTATTATTTGAAAAATACATTAATAATTTACTGCGGTAAACATAATAATAGTAACAATACAACTAGAAAGAAATACAAATCAAATTCAGTCTCCACAGAATAAGCTGCTAATCACTTATGCTTAATTATTTCCGAAGTTCATTAATAAAGTCGTTTAAATGGACCATGAAAGCTTCATGATTAAATGAGCATAGAGCCTTCACAAACTTTCTAAGTTAAATATATTTACCATTGTGTATCAGAGATGTGAATTACATGTCTGATTACAGTCTAGTTGACAAACATGTCTTATTCTTATTGAACATATCAACACTGAAGTCTGTTATATATTTTAGTAAATTAACCAAATGAAATTCACTAACTTTTATTGTTCACTTGAAAGCTATTTGCTATCCATAGGGCTTTATTCATTTTATTCACTCACCCTTTGGACTGTAAGTATTGAACATTTGAGGTAATATATATCTTACTTCACTCATTAACTTTAGCATGACAATCATTGAAAACCATGGAGCACTGAAGAGGAGTAATATATTTCAGTATAGTTCTTCCCAACAACAAACACACATCATTCTGATGAAGGTACTTAGCATTCAGCAGTCTACATGTCAAAATAACATAGTCATCACAGATGGCATTGAATAATCGTCGTAAAGTATAGTGAATTAACTAAATTTGAAAATGTTAATCACTTCATGTTAAAACACTGATCTAAATGTAGCCTACCGCTAAGCTTAAAGTCTTCACCTTCTCTTTCTGATAGTGTTGTGGTTATGGACTGTTGAAAAGATCTATATTATAATGGAACAGCTATTCAGTGCTCCCAGGTTTTCAGTGACTATTCAGTTCAATTTAGATTGTGATTAAAGGCATCTTCAAACTGAATGATCTTTACAAACGATGACAAAATTATATTGTTACCAAGAAAATTTCGTAGAATAATTTAGTCATTGTATGAACGATCAATAACCATGAATTGCAATATCTAATACTAAAACAAAATCTTTCCAATAAAATGATCGATCTACTCAGTGTTTGATAATTACTTATTTTACTTACTAACGCCTATTACTCCCGAAGAAGAATAGGCTGCCGATTAACATTCTCCAATCCACTCTGTCATGGGCCTTCCTCTTTAGTTCTACCCAATTAGTATTTATTCTTCTCATGTCTGTCTCCATTTCTTGGCGTAATGTGTTCTTTGGTCTTCCTCTTCTCCTTTGAACTTGAGGATTTTATGTGAAGACTTGCGTTGTGATTCGGTTGATTGCTTTCCTCAATATGTATCCTATGTCGCTTTCATCGCTTCTTCATGATTTCTTCCTTTACTGGGATCTGGTTTGTTTGGTATTATATGCATAGAGATGTTCAACAGGGAATTTCCACTTACTTCAAAGGTTATTTTCATTTGAATTCGTTTAACTCATTCATTTGATTATGTGAATGTTATAAAACTCTTTTTTTTATATCGTGAATTCATTAAGTTGGTTAGTCAACTCAATCAAATTCAATATATGTATACATGTATATACAAGTATGATTAATATTTCAGTCAGGGATATCATACTATGTGTCTATAGTATGCTGATTAACATCTTTTGACAACAATGTCATGCGGAATGATAGTTGATTTAATAGACTTTTTAGCATAATTATTGTCTAAAACATTATCTTCTGTTTGTTCAGTACTTGCATAATTTCTCATTTAAAATGTACATGAATGAATTATCAAATTATTCACTTGTATTTAAATAAGTGAATTCATGAGTCAATTAAAGCTAGACCACCATGAAAAAACCTAGAAGCACTGAACGACTGTCTCGTCCTAATATGGGACAATACAGAAGTGTGTATTCACGATCCTGTATGTGGGAGTCGAACTCAAGACCTGTAGGTTTTGCGCACGGACGCTAAACCTCTAGACTATTGAGCTGTGATTCGATAGTGTTAATGTTAAACTTTGACGAATTCACGAAATTGCGCCAGTGTCCATCATTGTCTTTAGTGGGTTACTATCTTACAAAAGACCTCGTTGAACTTAACTGATCATGCCTTCTCACTAGAACTCTAGGAAATACCTCTTAAAACCAGTCACTAGTGACCAGCAGATGATTATTATCAAAATAGGGTTTTGTGAAAATTCATACTAGGATGAATCGGCCCTCCAGTGCTTCCAGGTTTTTCATGGTGGTCTATCTCTAATCGATTCATGAATTCAACTATTAAATTACTAAAATCTCTATAAAACCTCCTTCTTTTAATTCGTCATCAGTTAACGTCTATATTCTAAAACTCTCCACAAAACCCATTCTGATGAATCTGTTTAAGAATAACATTTATGTATTACATTGTTTTTCAAAAAAACTGATTATTGACCTACTGTAGATTATACAACTATCAAATTTGATATACTACTGAAATGAACTAAAGTGTTATCTTAAAAAATGTGTTTTAAAGACTTCATAATTCAAGTTGATGATATTTTAGTTAACCATCTTATGTAGATATCGGTTAGTGACTAGAATTAATCTGACAACTATTTTACATCTGAATGTAATATTCTTCATCAGTTGTGTACGCCATCCACCACATACAGGACAAAGCTTTGGAAATTCCTATTCGACGGTTCGAGTAATATTTATGGAGTTAGAACTCGATGATTCATCTGTTTTTATAGAGTCAAGTTAATTTCTGAGAAGGAATCTAAGTATTATTGATAAAATAATAATCTCATTGAAACTACGATACAATCGTAATTAGACAATGTTGGAAACGTGGATGGTACTGGATATCCATTTCACTTTAATAAGGGACTCCTCAGCAGTATACATCAATGACCTCTTTCTGATTATTCTTTTGGAATGCATTATTTAGACATTTTCTTAAAGTATCGATTGGTAGTGATGTAAACAGCATTCTTTTTTCAACTGCACAATAAAATTTATCTGTTTCCGGACCCAATTCTTGCATAAATGTGAACCATTGTACATTTTATCATATATGAATATTTCCTTAGGGTTTGAATTTGAATTTGATTTCATATCTCTACTCACTGCAACAGGCGTAAGTAAGTAAGTAAGTAAGTAAGTAAGTAAGTAAGTAAGTAAGTAAGTAAGTAAGTAAGTAAGTAAGTAAGTAAGTAAGTAAGTAAGTAAGTAAGGAAGTAAAATTAGCAAATAATTAAGTACATAAGTAAAGCAAAGTTGGTAAGTAAGCAAAGTAAAGTAAGCAAGTATTCACCATAATGAACTAATTTACGAAAATTGATTTCGTCTTCCATATTAATGTCATATGTTGGTGTAGTTAAATGATTTTCGAATTGTTGAATGTTATGGGCAAAAGAAATAGAAAAGTGGGAATATCACTCATTTGTAAAATGAGATTACCTCTGGTTTATATTTAGCCATTCATCATCCTTAATGTAAGAATATAAAGAATCTCTATGATAACTACGATCCTTTTTAAAATAGTAGATATATCTTTTGTAATAACCAATGGTCAACTTATTTGAAATTATCAAGTTCAACCTTGGTATATGATTCTTACTTATTTATCAGAGATATCACCGTTAAGAATAGGATTGTGAAGATGGTTGAGTGTTAATTAAGATCATGAATTGAGCACAAAGTTGAATCATCAATAAAAATCTCAAAGTATTGGATGATCATTTCATCTTAGCATATTCTTCGATTTATTGAATTCTAATGTTGAGAATATTTGTAATTGAATATGTTCAGTTTATGTTATTTTGTTCAAATCTCTTGAAGACATAACATATTCTATACATAATTCATCAGTAGTATATTGAATTGAAGACAAACTAAGAGACATCTTATTGTTAAAAGAAATTGTTTTCTCACAAGATGGACATCTTCAGAACATGAAGTTGTGGATGAAGTTGAAATTCATTTGATATCGTTTGCTTGTATGTTCTCATTGTTCTTTAGGAGTGTAATTGATCAGTCTCTTATTACTATACATGCATTCTATGTAGACTGTCTCGAAATTACTTTCATTCACAAGCATTATAAATAAAAAGATGGACTAACTGAGAACCATACAATGAATACTTCATTTAAATAATGTTAATCAATTGCCCCAGACTTGATTATTCCTTCATTTCTACACCAATCATTCTCTGACCTCGTTTTCTTTTCTTTGATCTTCTTAATATTCTACCACTAGACATTTCATTTTTCAATTGATAATATATACTACTTATATTAGTCGACATCAGTAGCACACATACACACACACACCATAGTACCAGGGAATATTATAACAAAATTAGTATGAGGTTTTAATGATTTATCATTTAAGAATTTGTTAGATAATGAGCCTTCTTCGAAGATACACTGATTATATTGTCCAGTATATGACAGTGAAATATTCATCAAATGAAGATTATTATTATTATTATTATAAAGGATCTACTGAATTGAAACTATAAAGGGGAATATATTACATAATAGATAATCAGTAAATAATTATCGAAATGTCTGATTTAGCATAGATGAATAGTTGAATGTCATTGTTATTAGTCCTTATCAGATGAATTGTATGATTAGGCTTCCTATTTTAACTAATTTATTATTGTTATGTAATTTCTATGTAATATATACATAGATTATGGG